ACGTGCACAGAGCACTTACCATGAGGCTGTCACTGCTCCAAAGTGCTTTGCAACATTACGAGGTGAGTGCTATTAATATCTCAATTTTACAGCTGAGGAATAGGCACAGAGAGGTTAAGTAAGTTGTCCAAGGTCACATAGTTAGTAGATAGCCAAGCTAGGATTTGAACTCAGGCAACCTGGCTGTAGGACTTGGGTTCAGAACCACCCAATGACAGCCCCGGGTGACCACCTGAGAGTATCGGAGAGACAGATGGTGAGATGGAAAGGAGGACAGGGTTCCCGTGAGACCAGCGTTGATTTTTGTGTTCTGTTCTGCAAGCCTAGAACATTACTTCACTTGGCCTGGGGGAAGGAAGGAGGATTTCCAAGTGAGGAAAGCACTCTGCAGGTACCTCCAGAATCCCCTTGAGGATCCCCTGCTGATGGATGTTGATGTGGACACGAGAAGTCCCAGGAAGATCAGCCTCAGAGGGCATCTATAATCAGATGTGCTGTGAGCCAGTGAATTGAACACAGGCTTTAAAAACAAAAAAAAAACTTGTGATCAAATCCCAGCTCTGCCAGTTTCTAGCTACATAACCTTGAACAAGTGACTTTCCCTGTCGGAGCCTCGGCTTCCTCCTCTCTAAATGTAGATAATATTTACATACCACTCAAGATGATAGTGAAGCTTCAAAGAGGTGTTGGATAGAAAGTACCTGAGAGCGCAGGACCGTGGTGTCTGAACTACTGCCTCTTTTGCCATACATTCATTTGCTCAGCAAATGGCGAGGAACATTTACTACATGGGTACAACTGTGTTCATGTTCCATGTTATGGAAGGTTTAAAGATGAACAAAATGTAATCTGTGTCCCCACATTAACCAATTGTTGCATTGCTACAAAGAAGTACCTGAGGCTGGGTAATTTATAAAGAAAAGAGGTTTAATTGGCTTCTGGTTTTGCAGGCTACACAGGAAGCCTGGCATTGGCATCTGCTTCTGGTGAGGGCCTCAGAAAGCTTCTAATCATGGAGGAAGGCAACAAGGGGACAGGCATGGTGAAAGTAGGAATGAGAGGGACCACATTGTTTTACACAATCAGACCGCGTGTAACTCAGATCTCACAAGAACTCAGTCATGATCTCAGACAGCAGCAAGCTATTCATGACAGATCTGCCCCTGTGACCTCCCCCCACACCAGGCCCCACCTCCAACACTGGGGATTACATTTCAACATGAGATTTGAAGGGACAAACGTCCAAACCACATTAGTCTCTAAAGATTTTATATGTGAATGAGACGAGGGCTAAACGAAGATCAGGTGGATTCAAACTACGAGGCAGACAGTGATTGATTCCACGTGGTGCGGATGTAAAAGACTTTACAGAAAGGCTCCAGGAAGAGATGGGAAAGGAGGAACAGGCATTCCAGCAGAGCAAAAGGGCACCACAGTAGAGAAAGGCACAGCTTATTAGGGAAGAAGGGCTAAAAGTGGGGAGGTATGTGTCAAATCCTAAATGCAAATTTGGAGAAATTGGGATTAATCCTGTGGACAGTGTGGAGCAATATATGGGTTTTTGGCAAGAGGAAGCGGTAAGGAAGCTGAGAATCAGATTTCGGGGGTGGGGTAGAACTTGAAGCAAGATTCTCATCTTAAAGGATCTGGAAAGGGAACCTGGATTTTGATCCCGACTCTGAAATCAGGCAAAATACCCACTGCTCTTGGCCTCATATTTCCCCTGCAGTACTCACGGGTTACCAGGATGGCCTCTGACGGTCATCCGAGTCTAGGATGTGAAGGTTTCCCCTCTTCAGATCAGACCCGCTTCCTCTGCAGTCCTCAGCGTGACTGGCTCCTTCTCTCACCCTCCCAGCAGGCCCAATTGGCCCTCCTGCCCAGTTCAGGAATCTTGGGCACTGCCAACTCCAGGAGCTAGGCAGAGCTGGCTCAACAACTCTGTGAGGTTATGGGCAGCTGATCAGGGTGTCATGGGGAGAAGCTGGGCCCCTGGTTCTTCCTCTCCCACTTGCACCTGGCAGCCAAGTTGGCCAAAAAACAAGCAGCTGAGGAGTTGTGGCCACATCAGAGTTTGCTGCCATTTAGCTGCTGGGCTGTGGCAAAAAAAAAAAAAAAAAAAAAAAAAAGTCTTCTTGCTCTCTTCATCTATATGTTTCTGTCTCTGGTTCTCTGGCTTACATCAGGCCAGTGCTTTGCCCTGGAATTAAATGAAGCTGTATGGGGGTGGGGAGGAAAAGAGGGGAAAGGGACAACAGAGCCCAGCCTGCATGGCTCAAGTCCAAATCCTCCCTTGGCTGGGTGCCCAGGGTGGTCCTAGCTTACTGTCCACGTGAGCCAGAGCGAGGATGGGAAAGGGCACACACAGCTAGAGTCAGGGCTGGCCACGGAGTGGGGGTTGGAGGAAGTGTGCTGCCTGAAGAGGAACTCAAGGTGGAGATTCTAGGGAAATGCTCCCATAAAAAGATCTGTAAGCAGACAGTACAGAGGGAAACCCATTTTGCAGACAGTTGAGTTGCCCATCTAATGTTGGGTATTAGTGTGGGGTTGGGGTTAGGGCCTGTGCACAAACACACCAAAAGCATGCTTTATAAGCATCCCAGTTTCTTTGGCCGCATATGTGTGCATCCGATTTGGAAGCTGTATATACAAATATATACATATCTATTTGTATGACTATCGTAACCATGTGCTTGCACATCACCACAGGCAGGTATCTTTGGGCACAAGGGAAATGGACCTACTGGCCTCTCCAGCCCCTTTCCCAGCTTCACCACAGCTCTCAAATGACCCAGCCATGCAGAAACAGTCTCCTCATCATACCATGTCCTCCCTGGATCAGGCTCTAAAATGTTTTCTGTTCTCGAATCAGTCTCCTCTCCTCCCTTTTCTTCTCCCCACTTCCCCAGACCAGTTTGTCCTTCCCTCAGTGCAGCTCAAAAGTCGCCTTCTTCAAGAAGCTCTCCCATATCCTGCAGCACCCATGTCCCAGGCTGAACTGGATGCCCCTTGTTCCAGCCCCAGGGCTCCTGTGCTTCCCTCTGCTTGGGAAAGCCACGTGCTGACCACTGTGCCATGCTGCCCTTCACTGCTGACGTTCTTTGCCCCACAAATCACTATTGGTCCTGGAATCTGAGCTGGGAGCTCAACTTGCAGTGGAAGGCAAAGCAGCAAGCTGCAGGGTGCAGGCTGGACAATTGCCACAATAGCCATGTGTATGCATAACTGTGTACTAAATGCGGTGAATGTCTAACAGCATGCAGGTGTGAATCGGGGAGCTAGAGGCTGAGCTGCTCAGGACAGTGCTGCAGAAAGAGCACCACCTTCTCATCAGAGATGCCTATGTTCCCAGAGCCCCTGTGCTGGTCTCCTTCACACACTGCCCTCCCCATGTTGAATGGCATGTTTATGCCTGGTACCCCACTGCCCATAAACACGTCCACCAGAAATGATAGCTTTGCCACATATGAAATCCTGGGCCCTTGCATATCACAGTGAAAGTGGCTAAATGGGTTACATACCTACGCTTTGGAATCACATACATGGGGTTTTGAGTTGTGACTCTTCTACTTCCTAGCTGTATAACCCTAGGCAAGAAACTTACCTTCACTGAGCCTCAGTTTTCTTATCTGGAAAATGGTAATAACAGTATTTACTTAACAGGGTTGTAGTGAGGACTCAGATAATGCATGCAAAATGCCCAGCACAGTGACTGGCACATAGAAAGCACGCATTCATTAACATTAGCCGTTAGTATTACTAGGTTCTCTGTATGGGTTTGCAGAAGCTCTTGAACTTCTGCCATCTGGGCCTTATCTGTCTTGTTCAACCTATGCATTCCAGTACATAGCATAATGCTTCACACATAATTAGAGCTTAATAAAATTTCAAAGGATTCCATAAAATGACTGAATTAACAGGCCTCCATTTTTGCAGCTGTAAAATGAGAGGGCTAGCTTAGGATATCTCTGAACCCCCCTGAGCCAAGACAGTAGGATTCCAGGATGATCTCAGGAACGTATCTTTGTGATGCTCCACATTAGCCAGTCTTATTGTTTGCTGTGGTCGGTATCCGAAAAACAGGGCATGCTGAAGGACAGATGCCACCTGGCCCACCATGAGGGCAGGTCAGGCAGAGGAGGAAGTGGGTGCCAGTTTATATATGGGTCCTTGATAAGCATCCATGCAGGGCACTAGGGCTTGGGACAGAACCCTACTTGCTGTCTGGCTGTTCCAGGCATCAGCTCGGAACTGGTGACTGAGATAACCTCCAACTATTGCCAATCCTTGGTCCAGAAAGACGCAAACAGAATGGGAACAGCAGAGACACTACCACCTTAAGTTGATAAGGTGCTCATCTGGGACGAAAACATACACACATGCCAGGTCCTCTCTCCAGCCTGATCTCCAGTTGGGGTCCTTTCTCTGACTTTCCCTTTTCTAGGCTCTGGCGGCATTGCTGTTTGGGAATCCATAACTAGGACTCACAGGTGAGGCCGAGGGCAGTCTGCTGGGGTGGCGGGAAAGGCAGAGAGAAAATGTATGAACCCTTTTCCAGACAAATTACATGCAGGGTTGGAATCGCTGAAGCAACTGGCTGTCTACTTTGTGCCAACTGCTTTCTCTCTGAACCGTAGGATTTACACTGCTGAGAATGGTCTATGGAGCACCAGAGGTTGGAATCATATTTTGTTCCCCAGATGGGCTATCGGCTGCCCTTCACTTTCCTCAGGCAAGGAGGAGGAAAATCTGGCATTTGGAGAGTCAGAGGGTGATTAGGCATGTGGACTTGCCAGGAGGCTCCAGTCCATGAAGGGTAGATCCATATTGGAGGTATAGGAAGAACCTGGGGCTGAAATTGTATTCCCTAAAGATAGCAGGATGAGCCCTCCCCCTTATCAACCACAGGCCTCAGTCTTCTCCGTAAGATGAGCAAAGTGAAGGATGCCAAATCACACCACAACTGCAAGCGATTAGAAGCTTAGTGTCTGCCTTCCCTTCTAGAACGTAAGTTCCATGAGGACAAGGGCTAGTTTTCTCTCGCTCTCTGTTGTACCTACAATGCCTGTGATGCTGGAGATAGAAATTTACTGTACTGTTGTGAAAGGGAGGAAGGGGGAGAAACTGAATTGGCAAAGGGAGGTCTATTTTCCCATCACATAAGAGCTATGAGATGGGTGAGATGGGGGTGCAGAGAAAAGAACCCGGTATCTGAGTCTGTGCTCACCCTCACCAGAACACTGCTAATTCCACAGACGGCTGGGAGAGGGATGATATTGCTGCCCCTCCGACCCCAGCGTCAATTGGGAACATTTGTGGAGAAAGGAAACTTGATTCGTGTCATAGGGGAAGGCGTGTCTTGGGCTCAGAAAAGCACCTCATCTCTTCCCTCTGGCCATGCTCAGGGTCCATGTCCCTTCCGATGGGGTGCTGGGCCGGGATGGAGGACCCTCCCTGCTTCCTTCCTCCTCTTCCTGAAGCCCTCCCCTGCCTCAGGTGGTGGTCCTTTCCCCCATTTTCCGACACGCGCCACGCAGAACCTGATTGCTAGCTTGCTTCTCAGTGGGTTGGTGAATAAGCCCTTAGGTGACGTTAATTGCCATCAGGCATTAGGGGCCTAATGAGAATCATCTTCTTTGATGACTCCAGCACCTTCTATCCCCAGGGCCTCCAAGAGCTGGCCAGCTCTTCCCTGGCTGCACCTCCCAGCTCCAGACAGATGTGGGGGTGGGGGAAGGGACAGAGCAACCCTCTGCAGGCCCCAGTACCAAGAAAGGCAGCAAGAGCCAGCAGTCAGGGAGGGGGAAGGCTTCCAGGAAAAATGCAAGCACATTTTCCAAAAGCAAAATGTCACTGTCCTGGATGAAAGGAAACTCTCAGGGTCAAGAGGGCTAGAATGGAGTCAGGCAGATGGAAGGCAGGGTTTGGGCACCCCCGCTGGCCTTGCTCTGACCTGGCCCCACACTCTCACTCTAGTTGAGTGCAGAGGTATGGAGGGGTGACCCTCAAGATCCATATCCCCCCTAGTAGGGACATGTCTATGGGGTTGAAGACCCTGTCCCTACAGGGTAAGGTGGGATTAAAATTCACCCTCTGGGGATTGGAGCTGATACTCACTGAAGCTATAAAATCATTGCCCTGGAGCCAATGCCTGGGTGACAGATGACGGGTGAAGGTCTGATCCAGGCTGCACTCTAATGGAAAGGGCCTCATAGTGGGAATGAATATCACTCCAGCCACCCCTCCCCCTTGTCAGCAGGTGCCTGGGTGAGTGTGGAAGAGGGGCAGTTTCCCACCCCCATCTCATGCCTCTTTAAAGGCTTGCTAAACAACCTGTAGGAAAGCACGTTCCCTCCTCTTCTCCGTCTTCCTTCCCCAGCAGCAGAATAAATAGATCTCCCACAGCTGCGCCCCGGACCCATCCCGCACGAAGCTGAGCCCGAGAGACGCCGCGGCCCGAGAAGAACTGGGCCCGGCAGCGAGGCTGATTCCCAGCCAGTGCCCAGCGGAATCTGGGGATGGGGGTAGGCTGCCCCCTACCCGCGCCTCTGGCAGAGCGGCTGCAAAACACCTCCGGCGCCCGGTGGGGAGCGTGCATCCTTTGAAAAGGGGCATCAGTGACTGCGGTGGCGTCTACCCGGGAGAAACGCAGGCGATGCAGCTAGCCGGCCCTACTCGGGCCCCAGCGCCAGCCGGCGATGGGAAGGAAAAAAATCAAACCTAAAACAGCGGCGAGCGGAATCGCGAGGTAGGCCCTTGCCCGTGTCTCATTAAGGAGCCGCGCGCGCCCCCAGGCTGATAATGCGGAATGGACACGTGGACAGAGGAGGGGGAGCTAGGAGTGGGGGGAGTCTCCGTGGCGCGCGAGCCGTTGGCCGCGCGCTCCGGAGCCACGTGACCACGAGGAATCTGGGAGGGGAGGGGAGCGAGCGCGCCAAGCTCCGCGCCCGCTTCTGTCCGGGTGGGCGCTGAATCCCGGACGGAGGAGGAGGGCGGGCGAGCGCGAGTGTGTGTCTCTCTCGAGTCATTTACGGCGGAGCAGCCGGCGCGAGCGCCGAGGAGGCGGCGACAGCGGCGGCGGCTGCTTCGTGCAACTGTGGCTCCCCCCACCTCCTCTTCCTTTTTGCTCCTCGATTCTTCTCCCCCTACACACGTCCATGGGGAGCCGGCTCCCCTGCCGGCACCTCCTCTCCTGTTGGCCCCGTAGGCACCAGCTGCAGCTTTTCTGGCCGCAGGCTGCGCGGGTGCCGGCTCCCCTGGCCCCTGGCGCCGCGCCCGCGTCTCACCTCCCTCAGCCCGGACTGGCGCGGCGATCCGCTTGCCCAAACTGACTCGGAGAGAGCGGGAGCCGATGCCCGGCCGCACCGAGACAGCGGGCGAGCTGGCGTCCGGGGGCAGGGCGGGGGCGGCGGGGAGAAGGAGGCGTCGGAGACTCTGAACCCCAGAAAAGTTCAAGGTTTGTGCAGGTCCCCCCAGGGAAGACGAGGAGCGAGGTGGGGTAGCGCGCCCCTCTGCTGAGACAGCGAGACCGGAGCGGAGAGAAGGGTGGCCCGGAGCTGCCGCGAGCTTGCAGAACCCCTCTGCATCCTACGGCGTTTGTGGTCATCCAGCTGGAGTCGACGCCCTGGGCAGGAAGGGCTTGAGTCGGGGCACATTAGCCAGCTTTCTCTCTCCCTCGCTTTTCCAAGCCCCGTTTCCATGGGGCAGCCCGTTCCGGCCGCGCCACCCTTGCCCCAGCCGCCGAGCTGCTGCCCCGGCAGGCAGCGCTGAGCCGGCCTGTGTGGAGCCCGGGCCCTGACTGGAGAAAGCGCGCTGGAGCCGAGGAGCGAGCCCTGCGAGGGGACAAACATCTGGCCGCCCGTCTCGGGCATCTGGTCTGGGCGTCGCCTACGGTGGTGGCGACCTGCGTCGCTGGTCTCAGCACCGCACGGAAACTTTTCCTTCTCCAGATGGATTAAAGTTGCCTGGATTTTCTCTTTCTTTGAGAAAGACAGCATTCATTTGCACCTGACCTGGGATTTTTATGCTGGGCTGCTGCAGGGGCTTGGAGGAAGAAAGCGGCGCTATCCATGTGGGGTTACTACCGGAGCCGAGGAAACCCGGGCTTGCTTTGGAAGTCTGCACCCTCGAACGCGTTCGGACTCGAGCTGGGCCGTGGGGCCCGGGGATTCAGCACTGGGCTCTAGGCAGCCCCCGGGACACACGCAGCCGCCGGGCTCGGGACCGCACGTGCGGCTCCCCCCGCGCCTCGCAGATCCTGCAGGGGGCACCAGCCGGGGGAGGTGGAGGCTCCTCCCGCCCGGAGCTGCGCCCCCACCGGCTCCGAGGGTGTAGCCGCCAGCGCCTGGGACGCCCCCTCCGCGCAAAGTGTCCCCGAATTGCACTCTCTGGCCCCGGAGCTGCATCTGAGACAGCCGGGCACAACGGCCGCCCCGAGTTGGATGTGACCAAGCCCAGCCTGGGGCCAAGTCGTCGTCGACTGTTGCCCTCTCGGACCCCTCCCGCCCCCGCCTCGGCTATGGCCCCGGGGATGTCGGGCCGCGGCGGCGCCGCCCTGCTCTGCCTCTCAGCGCTGCTAGCCCACGGTAAGTGTCGCGGCGCTGACTCGGGGTGAGGATGCGGCAGGCGCCGCTGGAGGGGCACGGGGAAGACGGGGGAGAGGAGCACCCACACCCCCTGGACTCGCGGCCGCCACTCAGGGCTTGGCGTCTCGGGCTGCAGCTCGAGTTCCCGCCAGCCCCCGAGCCCTCCGGCGAGCCCTGCCGAGGGGACCGAGCCCGGCGCCAGAAAAGGGTGGGGGGAGGGCGTCGCTCCAGTCCTCTCCGGGTTATAAAGAAAGGTTCCAACCCGAGGGTCTGGGGGCGTGTCCGCCCACGGAAATCTAGAGGGATCCGAGGGATCCTCAGGATCGCGTCCCGGCCCCGTCTCTCCCTGCGGCCGGCCGGGCTGGGGGCTGTTGGGATCCGCCGGGATCGCGTCTTTCCCCGCCCGGGGCGCGCAGGCCGGTGCGGGGCCGCGCCGCCCGCCGCCTTGCTTCCTGCGGCGGTCCTTGGGAAAGGAAGTGGAGTGACTTGGGGCCCGCGAGCCGCCGCGGCTCGCCCGCCCGCGGTCCTGTGAGCTGCATCTAAATGGCCGGCTTAGGCGAGCCCGGAGGGCGGGGGTCTGGGCACCGGCACAGGCCGGGGCCGCTGGCGGCGCGCGGAGGTAGCGGGCTCCGCGCTCTCGCGTTCTGCAATCTGTTGCGTCTGCTCCCCAGGCTCGCCCCGGGCTCCGCGGTAAAGGGGGTGGGAGAGGGAGAGACAGGGGTTGGCGCGCTTTGGCTGTGGGACAGCGGGCATACGGGTGGGGGGCAGCGGGTCTTTGAACAGCCCCCCAGAATGGGAACTCAAACCAGACGGAAAGAGGCTGCAGCGGGCCTTCCGCAAGCTGGAGACGCTCCAGGAGGCGAGGGGCGCAGATCGAGGTGGGAGGGAGAGAGCTCCGAGAGGAGGATGGAGAAGCGGGGCCCTCTGTCCCCTCCCAGCGTGAAACCAACAGACCTGGGATACATTTTCCCAACCAGCAAAGCGTGGCGGGGTTGGTTGGTGGTGTTTCGATGCCCCACGCTGAGGGATGAGTCTCGGGCAGGATGGAGGGCGCTTAGATGGAGAGGGCAGTGGACTCCCTGCATTGGTGGAGCGCCCTCGATCGCAGGGCTCAGCTCTTGCTTAGATCTGCCCAGTCCCTAAGAGCCTGCCCAAGCTCACCACGAGTTTGGTTAGGCCCAGGGTCTCTAACCAGCGGCCTGTCTCACCCTGACCAAAGCTCATTCTCAAGGTTGAAGGAATAAGAAAAGGAATGGGCTCTCGGAATCGTAGGGTCCTGGGACTAGGAGCGGGGAGGGGAGCAGGTCGACCTCGGTCTACGGGTGGATTGGTTATTCCCGGCTGCGGGTGACTTCAGTGGCGTTGTTTTGCGTTCAGTTCTCCAGAGACGGCTAACCTCAATTCTTTATGGGAGGAATGGGCAGACCAGCGTGCCAGCAGCGGGGCGAGGGTGAGGTGGGGGAAGGTGGAAGTGCAGCGGGGGAACCAGAAATCTCTAGGCTCTGTGTGCCACCCTAAGAATTGGGGTGACAGACGGAGGTGGGCACGGAGGTGGGCTGCCTGTCTGCTCACTGGAACTGCATGGGCTTCACTTGTGACCTAGCACTGGCCGGTGGGGACTTTCCCTGCCCAGTAAGAGGAAGCCCAGAAACCAAGGCCTGGGTCTAGGTGGGTTCTTCCCCTCTACTTATAGCTTGCTCTCTCTCAGACTTCCCTTCCCCAAACCCAGCCATGGCCTCACCTCAAACGCTAGTGATAAGCAGCTTAAACTCTCATTAAGTTAAACTCATTAGGGCCCCTCTGCCCACCTTCCTGATCCTGAGCCTGGAATTAAGGATCCCTTTCCCTTCCCCACCTGCCAGAATCCTGCCTGTTCCTAAGATGCACTTCAGCTGGGCCTTTTCATCCTGGCTGCCTTCCCCTGGTCTTGGCCTTGGCCTGCTTTTTCCCTTAGGCACCAGTGCCCTCTCTGTGCTCCATTAGTCCTGGATTGGTGGAGGCAGAGCCTTGGGCTATTTCCTGTCTCTCCACACAGCCAGGGCCTAACAGTGACAGCACACCTAAGGACAGAGGGCTTGGCTGCCTGAGCAGAAAGAAGGCATTTAAGGACCCTATGGTCCCCCTACTGAGCAGACATTTCCCCTCCTGACTCTCTGGCTCCCTTTCCAAGCTCCTTCCCTGAGTCCTGAACTCCCTTCTCCATCCCATGTCTCAGGCTCCTCTATTTCAGAGATGGGTGCCAGCACATACTTAAAGGATCCCCCAGATAAGTAAGGCCAGCATGATAGAAATCCACCCACAATAAAACCCCATCTGCCTTGGGCCTTCCTCCTCCAGGGCTGCCTGATGCCCACCTAGCCACCCCTTCCCTCTGTTAAGAACAGGGTACAGGGACTTAATCTCCCTTCAAGCTCACTCTTGATTGGGGTTTCTGGGCTTTTCTAAAATGCTGGGAGATAGAGGGACAGTTGCAGTTTTCTGTACCTGGCAGGCAACTGAGGCCACAGGGTTCTGACCACACAGCCAGACTGGGAGCCAAATAGCTTGGGTTTGTTTCTGTCTGATTCTGGCGCCACCAGGCAGGGTGACCTTGGACCGCCTCCCTCACATTCCCTGTCTTCTACAGCCAGTGTGGTCTCTGGCCTGTCTCTCCCCTTCCCAGTTTGCTGCAGGACTCCTGGACAGAGGCCGTGTGTGAATGAAGCCCCATCACCTTTACAGGGCCCAGTTCAGTCCATGAGGTAGGCAGAGTGGTGTGTCTGGGCACTTCCGCGCTGTTCCCAGTCTCCAGCTGTCTTCCAGGCAACATCTGTGAAGGCCACTTTCTTGTATGTCATCTTTGGGGAGACTTCCGGCCCCATTGTTAGTTCGAATAGGAGTTTGGGGGACAGGGTGGTGGATAAATCTGTTAAGAGAGCTGATTGTCAGCTCCCTACTCAGGAACCCTTACTGGCTCCTCACTACCTTATAGGATCAAGGGTATGATCATTGCCCTGGCATCCAAAGCCCTTTATGATCTTGGCCCAGTCCACATCTTCACTTCCATGACACTATGCCCCTTAAGGTATTGCTTTTCTCATCTTCCTGCCTTTCTGCTTTTGCATCCACCAGCCCCTCCATCTAGAATAC